TTCTTTCTTTCTTTCTTTCTTTCTTTCTTTCTTTCTTTCTTTCCTTCCTTCCTTCCTTCCTTCCTTCCTTCCTTCCTTCCTTCCTTCCTTCCTTCCTGTTAGAATGCAGTATTCCATGCTAACTCTGCCCACTGTCTGCAGTTCAATCCTGACCAGCTCAAGGTGGACTCATCCTTCCAACCTTCCGGGGTGGGTAAAACAAGGACCCGGATTCTTTGGGGGCCAAGAGGCTGACACAACAACCTCTTAGAGAAGGCTGTGCTGTTGCTATTCCCGCGCGCACCTTCCCCCCAGCCAGGACCTACTGTAGAGCGTGCCCCAGCCAGTGATGTAGCAGGGATAATAGTCGGGGAGCACCTCTCCTCGTGGGGGGAGGCACGCTGGCTGCACCTTGTCGTTGAGAACGGCCGGATGGGAGAGTTTGATCAGGGCGATGTCGTTCCTGGAAGAAGAGGCGGTGACGGTGGTGAGGAGGGGTCTTTTTCCTTCCCTCCCCCTGGGATTATCTTTGCAAGAAGACACACACACCGCCAGCTGCCTCCTTTGGAACAGGGATGGTTCTACTCACCCGCAGGAGATGCAGTTGGGGTTCCAGCCAGGGTGCACGAAGAAGTCCTCGGGGTTGATCAAAATCTCCTGTTCCGGGCTCTCCACCTTGGCCAGGTTATATTCCCCCAGGACGACTTTGTTTTGGTACTGTGGACTGAGAGAGGGGGGCAACAGAGTGAGATGGGGGGGACTCTGGGCCTCCTTCAGCCCTCCATGAAGGAGTGGCTCCTTCACCTGCCCTGTGCCCCACTCCACGAGCGCCAAGGTGCCTGAAGAGACTCACAAGATGCAGTGTGCGGCGGTCATCACCCAGTTGGGGTGGATGAGGCTCCCCCCGCAGAGGGGTGAGTAGTAGCCTCCGGCCTCAAATTGCAGGGACACCTGCAGCAAACAAGGTAGGGGGTGGACTTCTTAATGTCGCCCACCCATACCTTCCTCTCCCCCCTCCAAAAATCACTCTTCATGGTCTGTAGCTGGGGTGAGCAACTTTTTCCCAACCCCACCCCCCTTTTACCTGCCAGGGCCAGCTGTAAGGAATGGCATCTTCTCCGTTCACTACCCTCCCGGTTCGGACGGGGGAGTAGGCGGGCTCTCCGCAGCCGTGTGCTGAGCAGAAAGGGGGAGAACCACACAATCTCGTCACACGGAGTTGCCTTTCCAAGGACTGTTTCCCATGGCTTCCAGGCTACTTGGCAAGTTTAAGACTGGTGGACTTCGACTCCCAGAATTCCCATGTGAATTTTGATTCCCAGAATTCCCCAGCTAACTGTCTAGGGAATTCTGGGAGTCGAAGTCCACATGCCTTCAAGTTGCCAAGGTTAAGAACATTTCTTTAGGACAAGGGTCTTCAAACTTGGCAAGTTTAAGACTGGTGGACTTCGACTCCCAGAATTCCCATGTGGACTTTGATTCCCAGAATTCCCGAGTTAAGATGGACTGGAGGAGGAATTCTGGAGTTGAAGTCCACAAGTCTTAAAGCTGTCAAGTATGAAGACCCCC